ACATTACACTGACAGACACCGTTTTTACGGGTTCCCTCTACCTTGCTGGCATCAGCACAGGTGAGTGCCATTTTGCACCCCCTTTTTAACCTGCTAACAGGTAGGTGAACAGTGCCCCACCCTCACTCACACAGACTGACAGACATGGCTGGCGAGCAGCTCCACCCTCCCACACAGCTTGCTAGACCCAGCCAGACCAAGGACACACAAAAGACCACACAGGGGACAGCCCTTGAGCACCATGCTCAGGCTGCCATGGAGTCTGAGGTTCTGGCCGCCACAGATCTGAAACAATCAATAAAAGAGCTTGAGAGACAACCAAGGTGAAATGGTAAGGTTCATGTCCTACATGGAGCCACTCCTTGACTGTGAGAGATAGCTGTTTTTCATAATACACAGAAAGCCAAGCAAAATGAGGGGGAAAGGAGCATGTCCCAAATGAAGGAACAAGATAAAACCCCAAAAATAAACCTCAATGAAACAGAGACAAGTATTTTACCTGATAAAGAGTTCAAAGTAATGGTCATGAAAATGCTCACTGAACTAAGAGGAAGAATACATGAATGCATTAAAAACTTCAACAAAGAGACAGAAAATATGAGAAAGCACCAAACAGAACTCACAGAGATGAAGAATATAATAACTGAACTGAAAAAATACACAAGAGGGAAACAACAGCAGACTAGAGGCTTCAGAAAAATGGATCAGCAACCTGGAACACAGGGTAGTAAAATCACTCAAACAAAACAACAAAAAGAAAAAAAAATTTAAATGACGCTAGCTTGATGGACCTTTGGAACAACATCAAGCATATAGATGTTTGCATTATAGGGATCCCAGAGGGAAAAGAGAGAGAGAAAAGGACAGAAAACTTACTTGAAGAAATAATAACTGAAAACTTAACCTAATCTGAGGATGGAAACAAATATCCAGGTTCAGGAGCACAGAGAATCCCAAACAAGATGGGACCAGAGAGATCCACACCAAGACATATTATAATTTAAATATCAAAAGTGAAAGATAAAGAGTATCTTAAAACCAGGAAGATAACTAGTTGTTTTTAAGATACTTAGATACTTCTAGTGTCTAGATACAAAGGAAAAATTATAAGACTGTTAGTTAATTTTTCCAGCAGAAACTGCAAGCCAGAAGGGAGTGGCATGATATATTTAAAATGCTGAAAGGAAAATATCACCAAATAAGAATACCCAGCAAGGTTATCATTCAGGGTTGAAGGAGAGAGAGTTTCCCAGACAAGCAAAAGCTGAAAGTTCATCACCACTAAACCGCCCTTACAAGAAATGTTAAAGGGGCTTTAATTAAGAAAAAAAAAAAGGGCCATAACTAGAAATAAGAAAATATATGAAAGAAAATTCTACCAAAAGGCAAATATATAGAAAAGGTAATGGATCGACTACATATAAATCTAGTATCAAGGTTAAAAGACAAAGGTAACAAAATCACTAAAACTACAATAATTAGTTAAGGGATACAAAGAATATAAAGTTGTAAAATTTGACATCAAAAACATAAAACATGGTGGGGGTAAAAACGTAGTGCTTTTAGAATGAGGTCAAACTTAAGTGTTGGCTTGAAATAGACATATATATTTATATATATGCACAGATATATAGAGTGATATATATGTCTATTTTAAGACATATACAGAGGGTGCCAAAAAATGCATACACAATTTAAGAAAGGAAAAAACTATTAAAATTGTAATACTCTATATACTGATAACTAAAGATGAATACAAGTCACATTTGACTTCTGCAATTACAAGAGGTGCTCAAAGTGGTTACCATTAGCATCCAGACACTACTGATTATGGCAAACTACTGCTTGAGCAATATTGACCAAAGTGCCCACTTATATACATTTTTTGGCACCCCTGGTATACAGAGAGTGCCAAAATAATGTATATACATTTTAAGAAAGGAAAAAAGTATTAATTGTAATACTCAATATGTACCGATAACAAAAGATGAATACAAGTCACGTTTGACTTATGCAATTACAAGAGGGGTGTGTGTGTGTGTGTGTGTGTGTGTGTGTGTGTGTGTGTGTGTGTAGATAAGTATAAGAGTGGATACATGTGTCAATAAAAATCAAGTATAACACTGACCAAAAAACACAGTTGTCTGTAAAATACGTAGTATCGTTAATATTTAAAACCTGTAAACAATAAAATATATTACCTATAAGTATATGACTATATAATCAAGGAATAAAATATTCTTGAAAATTATGAGCCCAAATTCATGGAAGTGTTTCACTTTGGAGATGGGAGGGGAAGGGTGACTAGTGTGGGTTGGGGTACAGGATTTTTTTGTGCTTAGGAAGCAAAAGAGCACAAAATATTTTTCAATTTAAAACAAGGTTTATAATTGTATAAAGAATGCCATCACACTGTAAATAGGTGTATTTAGTTGCAAATATATGTATATGTGTAGACTCTGGAAGGATAAATAACAAACAGGTAACTGGTAATCTCAGGAGAGGGGATTTATGATACTGCGGGTTGAAGTTAGCAGAAAGATTTACTTAACATTGTATATGTCTTTACTCTCTGAATTTTGAGTTTTTTTAATGTGAATATAGACGTAAATGATTGCATGCAGTTTTTATGAAATTGACAAAAATAAGGAAAATACGGCAGAAAAACAGGAAAAATATCTTGTTTGCTAATTTCCTTATGTTTGTGATATGAAATATTTTTTACTTGTAACATGATGGAATTATATGCTGTTAATAATGAAACTAGGAAATGCAGTAGAAGTAAACAGCACCTTTCAAGTAGTTATGTTTTCTTATGTATAATATAAACCCAACTCAAACTAGTCTAAGCCAAAAGAAAAAAAAAAAAAAAGATTAATGTACCCAGGAAATCCATGAGAGGATCTGGATCTGTCTCGCATTTGGGGACCCAGGGGTACAAATGATGTCATGAGGATTTAGTTTTCTTCTAAGGCCAGAAGGATAGAGTCCTCTATTTGAACTAATATATACGTGAGTTCATCCTAGCCCCCAGTACTGGACAGGATCACTGTGGCATAGGGTAAGGGTGTTTCCCCATAAAAGATGTGCTGACCGGATAAGAACATATCTGATAAAGTAGAGGAAGGAGGAGGTTGTAAAGCCAGAAAATTTATAATAGCTTTGAAACATAGTCACCAGGGCCTAGACAAAAGATTAGATGTTTGGAATTAATTAAAGTAAGTGAATTTGCTATGAAGCAACACCAAATCTTCCTAGCAACTAAATGTGAGAAGAGAAGTGAAATGTTCAATATTACACAAAGCACAGGAATTAAAGTTTCAAGGTACCATTTTTATTGCAGAAATTTCTTAGGCAGAATTTTCATTATGGCATTTTCCTGCCAGAACATTGTTGGGATTATTTTTTGGTTTGGTTTCCTGCCCCACCAGAAGTACCAGGTAAAAAACTTTAAAATAATCAATTAGGGGAACGTATTGATTTAGCGAATTCTCTGCTACCTGTCCAGTATTTGATACTCCTTAAATACATGCTGCAGGATGTCTGATGTTCTGTAAGTTGAATGTAATATGTGGTTTTTTTCTGTGATTCGTTTTGAACTGCCACTAGTCACAGTGGGTATCTGTGTCTTCCAATTTACCATTTCAATCACATTTTTATAGTATACTGAAAATTGACATAGTTTTTCATTATTGGTATCAAGAACCAGCCACCTATTTTTATTTTAAATGCTTTTTAATTTTGAGAATGTTTCATCTATAGTGCTAGAATTTGTCATGTTAAAGAAACCACTCAAACATCTTAAATTTTAAAGTTACTCTTTGTTAGAATTTGCTAGTCCAGATAAAGAACAAATTAATTTAGTGCCTAAATACATACACCAAGATCCAAACTGCTGCATGTTTTTATAATTCTCCATTTTTAAAAGAGAAAAATGTCATTGTCTAATGTTCACATATATTACACTAATTAATTTTCCTATGATCAGGATTGCACAATTTGTCTTATGCCTTCATTCTTATGCAGGAAAATAATTTCAATGAAATCATATGAGTTCAGCAAAATTAGTGAATTTCTGCCCCTACTGCCATTAAGTGTAGTTTGTGAGGTGTGTGATAACCATTTGCTCTGTGTTATCTATCTAATACCACTTAAAGCGAAAGACAACGTTTTTATGCATTTTAAACTTCGAATGAACAAAACGGAAACCTGGTTTACCAGTACCGTATTTTAAAAGTTACCTTGAAAATATTTTGGCTGTGCCTGAAATCCAGTGGGAATGATAGTGGGAAGGCAGCAGTTCTTTTCAAATCACTAGTTTGAACCCTATTGAAAAACTGATTGCAGACCCTCTAGAATTAGAATATGATAGGCAGAGAGAAACAATAGTGTTTTTTCTCAATAGCATGTCTTGAATAAAATATCTTTAACATTCAAAATCGCTGCCATTCTCCCTTTAGAGATTTTTTTTCCCTGCAGAAAAGGAATTGAAAAGGTTAAATCATATCTGTAAGAATCAGTCTTATGTATTTTTTTCATGTTAAATATCAAAGATGGCTTAACAACATATTTAGAATTTTCTGAGTTTTACTATTAATAAAGTTAAAAGAAAATCCAGTGTGTTCAGGTAGTGGAGCCACATTAAATTTGTATCTGAAACACCCAGTGTGCTTATCTCTACTCTAGATATTGCTCTGAACCCATGTTCCACATTCTGAATTCTGTGTATAAAGTTAAACATTGCAGAAGGGCATATATCTGATGATACAGATGAATAAGGTTGAAGTTTAGTAATGAGCAAAGTTGGTAAATTTAATACGTTCATGTCTTTTAGTATTTCTGTGATTAATATAATTGGATTATTTTGTGGAAAATTATGAAACACTAACAAATACTGATAGGTTTAAAACAACCAGAAATTTAAGACTCCTAGTCATACTATCTTTAACTTTAACATGCCAAACTAATATTAAATTTCTTAAAATATTGATTACTTACAGGCAAAGTTGTTAGCTATGCAACAAGCCAGAGAAACTGCAGTTCAACAATACAAAAAACTGGAAGAAGAAATCCAGACACTTCGAGTTTACTACAGGTAAAATTCCTTTTAGCCTGGGCATAAATCAATGTTGGTTTGGAAAGTGCTTCTGCCCGATTTTATAGTGGTAAAATGAGGAAATACCTCAGTGAAATTGAACATTATGCAATTAAAACATTTTTGTAATTTTAAAATGATTCCAGCATAAAATGTTCATTATTTTACCTCTTTCCCTTCCTGCATTTGGTAAAGTTTAAGTTTAGACTCTCATGAGATTTATGAAATTTATGTAACTCATAACCAGTTGTCTAAATGGAGCCTGGTTAGCCACTCAGCTATGTGCTCATCTAAATGCCTCCTCTGAAATGATGGCATATTTTTTAAATAATACATAAATATCAATAATAGCCTTTCACATATTATAATATGATATGAGAAGTTTCTAAAGGAATGCCAACAAAGGATTTTTAAGACTAATATAATTTATGCTACAAGAGTTATTGTAAAATTAATTCAGTAGGTCACACTGGCATTATTTAATGAAAAGACATAAAATAGAAATGTCAGAGTGGATCTCTTGTAGTATAATGGTAAATACTCCTTTGTGATACTTTTGTGTTGTGTATGAGAGAGGTAAAATTGTGTATTGGGCTATGTGTAAAATATATATTCTCACTTGGGTCATGGTTTTTAAAAAGGTTTGAAAAATTATGTACAACACCCTTTATGTTCTTTGATAACTTACTGAGGTTGAAAATCCTCAAGTCTAGATTGTAAGAATTCACTAACTAACCAGAAGCTGTAGGTTATGGAAAGATTTTTTTTTAATTTGGCCTTCCTCTCGGAATAATGTTAAGTGCATAAAATGCAATAAATCAAAATCAGCTTTACTGAAATACAATTATGGAAGTCTCATGGTATAATAGTATATACATGTGTCATTATTAATACATTACATAACTAGATCTAACAGTATGTCTATTAACAACTGTAATTTCAAAGTAGTGATGACTGTAAATAGTATTTTGGGGATAGTGCAGACGCTGAAATGTGACATGAAAATACCAGTGGTTTCTATGTGCGCAAACTCTCAAGGACCACTAATACTACTTTTGTAGTTTGGTGCCTATGTTCATAATTGTAGAAAATGTTGTATTTACATGAGATTTAGTCAAAAAGAGAGATGAACATTTTTTTCCTATCCCTAAGTTAAGAATCCTGCTTTGGAGCAATTTTACTGACATACACAGCAGTTGGTTGTTATGAGTTGAGTTGTGTCCCTTGAAAAAGATATGGTGAAGTCCTAACCCCTAGTACCTAAGAATTTGACCTTATTTGGAAATAGGGTCTTTACAGAGTAATCAGATGAAGTCATGAGCATGGGCTCTAACCCAACGTGAATGATGTTCTTATAAAAAAGTGGAAAGTTCAACGCAAAGACACATGCATAGAGGGAAGACCACAAAGGCACAGGGAGAAGATAACCTTGTCCCTGAAATGACCCATCTACAAGCCAAGGAATGCCAGGGTTTAGCAGCAAACACCAAAAGCTAGAAAAGGCATGGGAGGGTTCTGCCTTATAGCCGTCAAAGAGAGCGTAGCCCAGTAGACATCTTGGTTTGGGATTTTTAGCTTCCAGAACTGTGAAACAATAAATTTCTGTTGTTTTAATCCCTCCAGTTTGTACTACTTTGTTACAGCAGTCCTAGGAAACTAATGCAGTTGTCAAATACCAGCTGTGTTTGGTTGATGACCGTGGGAAATCATTTGCTTGAAATTAGAATCATATGTGACCATGATGGTAAACAGACCCTAATAGTGAATGAAGACATCCCACCCACCCTTTTTTTAAAAAACTACAAAGTGAGCTAACAGTCTTCCCTTGTATTTTACACCAATGGATTCTTGACTGTAGCTGTGCATTAGAATTACCTAAGGACTCTCTAAAAATCCTGATCCCCATCCCATACCAGACCAATTACATCAGAGCCTCTTGGGGTAGGATTGGGCTACCAGTGGGTTTTAAAGCTCCCTAAAAATTCCCAGGTGCAGCCAAGTTTGAGGGCCACTTCTTTACATGCACATTTCAGTTAGTTGCATTACATTAGGGTCTCTTCTTGGAAGAATAATAGAGGCACGTATTAAACTCATTATTAAAACTTACAAATAGTGTGTGATTTGTGCCCAGACTTTTAGATGCAGCAGTGTGTTACATAGTAGCTGTATCCCATAGAGAGGAGACTTTTTATGGAAATTTCTCCTGCCATCCTTGTGAGATAGGACAGCAGGTGCTCTGCCAATAAAGTGATGGTGTCTAGGAATCCTAAAAGGCATATGATAACGTTACCAGAACTGACGTTATTTTCTGGAAAAGAAACTTTAATGCCAATTCTTGCTGTTCCTTCTCTTTACGAAGTGCTGAAGGTTATTGAAAGATTTTGAAAATTATATAGTTGTGTTTCAAAGACTTCTTTGAATCTACATGCATGTATTTAACAGAGTTAAGTGATCTCTTCTAAATGAAGAATTAACAATTATTGGCTCAAAGATAACATTTCACAAGTAACCCCTTACTGCTACTTAAAAAAAATAATTGCTGGTCGTGTAGTGAAGCTACTGGGATTCGCAGTTAGCCTGGTCTGTGTGACCTTACTGAACCACTTCCTTTTTGTACAATGAGAATTACAGCACCTACCTCGTAGACTTGTTTTAAGTATGGACAGCTCTTAGCTCAGTATCTGGCATATTGTTAGTGCTGACCTAATACTAAGATAAATTTCTGTTTACAACAAGAAGTCAGTGAGGTAGGTAAGAGGAGATCAAAAGCTTTGATATCACCGAAGCCAAGGAAGGAGATTAAAAAAAAAAAGAAGACAGAAAGAAAAAAGTCAAATGTTGCTAAATGGTTAAGATAAGGACAAAAAGTATCCTTTTTGCGTGAAATTAGGTGGTCATTAGTGACCTCGGCAACAGTCGTTTCAATAGAGGTTTAGATACAGAAGCCAGTTTTCTGTGAATTGAAGAGTGGTTAGAGGTGAAGCAGCATAGCAATTTGGACAAGAGAGTGGTCCTTGAAGAAACTAGAGTAAGAAAGATGTTAATGACAGGCGAGAAGAAAGGAAGGTAGGTTACGGATTTTCTTTTTGAAAAATGGCAGATACTTGAGCATGTTTATGACTAATTTGAAGGATCCAATAGAGAGAATTGTTAAGGAATGGGATCCCTAAAGAAATCGGATGAGGGAGAGTGTGGACTCTGTAGCAGAGTTTGTCTTGAACAGGAAGATGATCACCTTGTTGTCATAGACAGGAGTGAAGGAGACGACAATAGCTGTGAATGTAAATAAATTTCAGTTCCTAATGAATAGTTTCATTTTTTTTTCCTGTAAAGAAAAGGTCAATGTGGGCTTCTGAAGTAAGAAGGCAAGAAGCTTTGAAAGGAATAATTCAGAGTAGCTACTGAAGGGCGTGGGAGAGAGAACTGAATAGAGACTAGGGCAAAGTCACAATCTTGAAGACTCATCTGGAATGGATGCTATCATTTGTATGAAACCTAGCTTGCCCAGCTGTGTAATTTAACACATCAGCTGTCCTTGTATAGCAGCTCAGAAGGCAAAGGATCAAAATGATTCAGGAATATGAATTTGCAGGAGAGCGGGTGAGGATACACTATCGAAAGAGTTGCTGAAATGATGAATGATAGTCTAAGCTAAATAGGGCAGGAAATAAAATTGAAGGGCCACGAATGTTGAGAGAAAAGGAGAAATCATACGTTTTAAGGAGATTATAGAGTAAATGCAGAGTGGGTAAAAAAATTTTAAGAACTGAATGGATTGGCAGTTGTCAGAAAGTGAAACGTTGCTATTTAAGATCTGAGAGGTAAAGGACTCAGTCTGAGGAATGATGATGTTTAAGGCATTTGGCTTAGAAGTGGATGGTTGAAATTGAGAGGAGGTGAGGATCACTAGCTATGAAGTCAAAGATTTATGAAACTAAAGTATTAAATACCCATTTGGATATGTCTCTGAAAATATTGGCATATGTTGGGATACTCACTATAAGTGCCATAATAGAAAATGACCTAATGATAGATAGATAAAAGCTACATGTTGAAATAAAGAGTGGCATATAGCTAGATGTATCAATTTAGTGATGCTCGGAAAAAGTCCCCTCAAGAAAAATAGGAGGGCCGGCCGAGTGGCGCGTTGGTTAAGAGCTGGCTTGGGACGCCAGCTCTGAGCAGCAGGGCCCTAGTTCGGATCCCACATGAGGGCCAGTGACACTGCTCCCTCTACAGCTAAGATGGTGAACAACAGCTCAACCTGGAGCTGGGCTGCCGTGAGTCACCAGCAAAGGCGTAGACTGCAGTGGGACTGCAGTGGGCAGCCGTAAGCTACCGTGTGTGGCTGGCAGCCAGCGTGAGCTGCCAAGAGCAGCCGTGAGTGGCCGTCCAGAGGCTGGCGACTGATCTGCCTCACCTGGGAAGAGCGCAATGATAATACCAACATGGGCCCGTGAAGTAACATCCTCCACAACTAGACTGAAGAACAAAAAAAAACGACAGCAACTTGTCTGCTTCCCTTCCCCTGATTCCCTAGTGCTGTTCCCCTCCCCCAATTCCCCAATTAAAAAAAAAATCTAAAAAAAAATAGGAAGCATCCTCCAGGAAGATCCACGTTTCTATAAAACAAAAAGGTACAGAGAACTTTTGTGCATTGTTGATGGGAGTGTAAAATGATGCGCCTGCTGTGGAAAACAGTTTGGCGATTCCTCAAAAAGTTAAACCTAGATTTCCCTTAGGATCCAGCAATTCCATACCTAGGTCTGCACCCAGAATAATTGATAGCAGTTGCGCACCAGTGTTCATAACAGCAATGTTCACATTAGCCAAAAGGTGGACACAACCTAAATGTCCATCAACAGATAAATGAATAAACAAATGTGTTATTTATCTACAAGGGAATATTATTCAGCCATAAAAAGGAATGAAATTCTGATACATGTTACAACATGGATGACCCTTAAAAAAGAACATGTTAATTGACATAAGCCAGACAGAAAAGGCTACTGTACGATTCCACTTCTACGAGGTACCTAGAATAGGCAAATTCATAGAGACAAAAAGTAGACTATGTTCAGATTAGCAGGTGCTGGAGGACGGGGAGGAAATGAGAGTTGCCAGGAGCTGGGGGAGACAGAAACTGGGGAATTATTATTTAATGGGTACAGAGTTTCTGTTTGGGATGAGGAAAAAGTTATGAAGGTGGATAATAAGGATGGTTATACAATGTTGTGAATGTACTTCATGCCACTGAATTGTACTCTTAAAAATGGCTAAAACAGTTAAGTCTTATGTTATTTTACCACAATGTTTTTAAAAGGTACAGAGAACATTCTGTGAAGATATACAGAAATTTATTTTAAAGGGAATAGGAGTAAAATCCCTGGGATAAAACTCTAGAAAGGGAGAGGCAATTACCCAAAACGGCAAAACTTAAATTTCCTGGCAGTTCACATTCTGATTTAAATTGATTTAAATGGAAGTAAACAATATTTCTTATACATGAATAGATTATGAATCAATACATAAAACAACTAATTCATACAGCTATTAGATTTTTCCTCAAAGTTTCCTGTGTTACAGAGGACAGGGAAAAACTTGCATTTTTATGTGAAGAAACTCAAGACTAATTCTGTAGTTTTCATGTGTGTGTGTGTATAAAGAAGTCATAATGATTTTGTTTAGCAAAGTGTAAGAAAAAATACACTTACAGTTATTGAAATCAGTTTTATACTTACATACACAAATATTTAAACATGTATATTGTCATGCCAAAGGAAGTTATTCACCAATTAATAGAAAATAAGCTAAGAAAACTACAGGAATAGGACGGTGAGCTGGAGCCAGGAGCGAGTTAGTACACAGTTTGCATGGACACCATGAAACAGCAAAAAAATAAGTGTCAAGAAGCCTGGCTCTCAGCTTTCCAACAGCCAAAGCAGAGGAAGACGTTTAGTTTTAGGGGCAGATGAAGATGTGCTATTGATTCATTTTACCTTGCCTTTAATTCTACCCATTAGTAATAATGATGCTATTTTTTCCCCAAAAAATTATTTTCTTTTGCTGGGTTATGCTAAGAGCTCCTGTTACTATAAGCATTCCATTTCCCTCTCTAGAAAGAAGGAATATGCAAGTATCTTTTTTCTGAGTTTCTCTATTCTGTTCGTTTCCTTTGAGCGTTAGAAGACTGAGTACTAAGAAAAGGAAACGTTGGCCTTTGGGCAGAGTTAGGGACGGGGAAAGTGAGGTGGATGGGTAGGGATGCTAAACGTACCATTATAACTGACAGCTCTTCCACGTTAAGCAGGAGGAATAAGGAGAGGAATGACAATATGAAGTGTGAAAATAAAGTTCACTTATTACACAAATGCTGTTAGTAAAGTATTAGTACTTCCTTGTGGCTGTGCCGAACTCTGAGTTCGTTTGCAGCAGATTCATTACTCTAAATCTAAACAGTTTCATCAGGGAAGAGTCTTAAACTTGTAAGGGTTAGACTTGTATTTGGTAATGATTTTTTCCTGTTGTTGTAAACCTGTAGAGCTGCATTCCTCAGTTCAGGAGGCATAATAATAACAAACTCTTTTCTAATCGAGAGAATGCCTAAGTTTCAATGTTGGCTAATTTTATAGTGCTTCCTTATATTTTCTTTTGCTTAAAGAATGTAAATTCAAATGTGTATAGAAGAATTAGATCCTGTTGTTCGGTGCCAATAGACTAGGATTTCATATACTTAACTTACAATAACAGCAGTTTATGTTTTAAATTTTTATTGTATTATGCATGATTCCCTGTGGGAAGTTGAAATGCCTTTCACAATACAGTAAAGTTCACATTTTAGATGAAAATTATATAATAGAATGCTCTGTATTTTAAGGTAGTATGTTTCCTATGATTGTACTAGTATTTTTTAATAATTAAATAGAATATTTATGTGTTTGACATAGTGAAAACTAGACTAAACCTGAACCCTATTTACTGGGTTTGTAATGTACATTTCAAAGTCATAGATGCCATAAAGATAGAGGCCATGTAAAATATGCTCAAAAAGAGAGTGAGATTCTAAAGTTTTCTCTGCATTCTTTTTATACATTTTATTTAGTATGGGTCTTTGAGTTCTTCTGTACACTTCTTGTCTATCTGTATGCTATTCTTAGCAATCAAAAATATTACTGTCACTAGGAGATGGCTGGGGTTTTTTATAGTGGTGATAGTTTTTCATAGAACCATATGTTCATTTAGTCAGAACTCCACATTGATAAGACGGTCAACAGTGATTACAGCATGCCGACTGCAGCCATAAAGCTACATTTCTCTCAACGCAAACCCCTTCTCCAGAGGGGTTGACCCATGGATCCTGGCCTCAGTAGTTCTATGTTCTAATCATCTGTGCTAATTGGACTACCCCATGACATACAGATTTTGTCACGTTTGTATTTTGTACAGGAATTAACTATCCATGGAGGTGGGTTATGCTACTATACTGCTAAAGCAGTCATCAAAAGAAAAAAACATTGGCAAGCTCCAAGCTTCCTGGGTTTCAGTTTCTTTAACTTGGACGCTAGAGGCTTTTTCTAATTCTAAGATTTTTGTGAAATTAGTCACCCTTTCATATGAGGTAGATTAAATTTTTGTTTAGTGATGTTTAGAATCAAGAACTGTTCCTTTCTCTATTTAAAAAAATTATTTTTATTAAATTTATCGGGGTGACGTTGGCTAGTAAAATTATATAGGTTTCAGGTGTACAATTCTATAATACATCATCTATATATCACATTGTGTGTTCACCACCCAGAGTCAGTTCTCCTTCCATCACCATATATTTGATTCCTTTCATCCTCATCTACCATCCCCCCACCCCCTTACTTTCTGGTAACCACTAAACTGTTGTCTGTATGAGTTTTTGCTCGTTGATTTGCCCTGTTCATTTGTTGCTTTCAGTTTCATATCCCACATATGAGTGAAATAATTTGTTCTTGACTTTTTTTTTAAGATTTTATTGGGAAATTGGGGGAGGGGAACAGTGTTGGGGAATTGGAGAAGGGGAACAGCCAAGTTGTTCTCCTTCAATCTTAGTTGTGGAGGGCGCAGCAAGCTCAGATCCAAGTCCAGTCATGTCGCTCAGCTCAAGGTGCTGTGTTCAATTAGTTGTGGGTGGGCATAGCCACCATCCCATGTGGGAGTCAAACCAGCAGCCTCCTTGTTAAGAGTGCACGCTCTATCCCTGAGCCACCTGTGTGGCAGCTCAGCTCAAGGTGCCCAGTTCAGTCTTAGTTGCGGGAGGGCGTAGCCCATCATTCTAACCGGCAGCCTTGTTGTTAGGAGCACGTGCTTTCACCAGCTGAGCTACCCTGCCACCTATTGGCAGCTCAGCAGCAGCTCAGCTCCGGGTATCACTGGCCCATGTGGGAATTGAACCAGAGACCCTGTTGCTCAGAGCTCGCACTCTTGGGTAAGCTCTTAAACAACTGAGCCATTCTGTTGGACCCCTGTTCTTGACTTTTTATGTCTGACTTATTTCGCTTAGCATGATAGTCTCAAGATCCATCCATGTTTTCACAAATGGCAGTATTTCATCTTTTCCTATTGCCGAGTAACATTCCATTGTATATATGTACCATATCTTCTTTATCCAATCATCTATCGAAGGACACTTCATTTGTTTCCATGTCTTGGCCACTGTAAATAATGCTGCAGTGAACATAGGGGTACATACGAGTATATCGTTACGGATAAATGTTTTCAGATTTTGCAGGTAGATACCCAGAAGAGGTATTGCTGGGTCATATAGTAATTCTATTTTTAATTTTTGAGGAACCTCCATATTGTTTTCCATAGTGGCTGCACCAATTTACATTCCCACTAGCAGTGTATGAGGGTTCCTTTTTCTCTACAGCCTCTCCAACACTTATTATTTGTCATGTTGATGACAGCCAATCTAACAAGTGTGAGGTGATAGCTCATTGTCATTCTGATTTGCATTTCCCTAATAGCTAGTGAAGTTGAGCATTTTTTCATATATCTGTTGGTCGTTTGTATGTCTTCTTGGGAGAAGCCTGTTCAGGTGTTCTGACCATTTTTTCATTGGATTATTTGTATTTTTCTTGATGAGTTGTATGAGGTCCTTATATGTTTTGGATTTTACCCCCTTATCAGGTGTTGTTTGCAAATATCTTCTCCCATTCAGTTGATTGCCTCTTTGTTTTGTTGATGGTTTCTTTTGCTGTGCAGAAGCTTTTTAGTTTGATATAGTCCCATTCATTTATTTTTGCTTTTACTTCGGTTGCCTTTGATGTCAAATTCATAAAATCTTCTCTAAACCCAAGGTCCATAATTTTAAAGAACTCTTCTTATACCATTAAGTTTTGCTTATTTTGAAGGCCTTTTTAATGTACAGCTGACTTCACCTTTACTAGTCAAATCACCATATATATTTTTTGATGGCTCTGAAATGCAAAACAAAAACGAAATTAAAATGAAGTTTAAAAAACAAACAAAAACCTTAAAGTTTTCATTTTTTATACATCCAGGGATTTCAAATATAATTATTATTCTTTCCTTCCTCCTCTCAACTTACAGAATGTGACAGTAAGATACTTAACTTCTGAATGTCAGTTTTTTACCTGTAAACAAATAAAATACATGACCTTATTATGAAAATCAATGAGATGATATATTTGAATGTTTTTAAAAACTGTGAAGCACTGTGCAAAGGAAATATTTTAATAGTATTATCGATAACTTAAAAGTTTTGTTTATTGAGATATAGGACAATTAAATTAGTAAAGAGGCTATTTCTACTCAAATAATTTATATCTTCTATGACTTTGTATCCAGAAGGACATTTTTTGCATTATTGTTTTTCACTATTTTCTGTGCCTTATTCTAACAGTAAGTTACAAGAATAAGAATAAAATTCAACATGTGTAGCTCTCAACTGCTCTCTGTTATTCTATAAAATGACCCATTCTCCTCTTTTAAGAGAATTTAATAAAATGTTTTGCCATTTAATCATTGTGGTTAGCAAAAACCCAGAGATAGACTGGGCTTGCCAAGTATAGGTCCTGGGGTTTTCCATCTACTAATACTTCTATCAGCTTGAGACAATTTAAGTTTGTATTTTGTTAGGTAAAAAAGTAAAGTGTTTCCCTTGGTCTTGGCACTCAGAATAACCATTATTATAGTTCCACGGGTGTCAGTTGTCTTCTACATAGATAATCTTTGATTGTTTTTATTTTTTTCACAAATTTAACCAGTAACCAAATTTTGGTAGGTTTTTTTTCTTGCAATGTCTATTACTTTTGCCTTCATATTTTTCAAAGTTCTTACCTTAGACCAAACTTGTATAATTTCATGCCTAGGCCTTTCTTGCTACTTCATGCACTTATCTCCATTCCTTACTCCTCTTAAGATTCCTGAAATATTTTTTTCAACCTCTCACTCAGTCATCAACTGTATTTAATAACACCGCCTTACCTATAGAATAAATTCCAAGCTCTTTAACCTAACATTTATGAGCCCTTGATATTGCTGCCAGTTCTTTCAGATTTAATGTTTCATCAATGATCTTTTTGCCTTCCTATTTTTATTCGTATCTGTGTCACCAGAGCCAGTACACCACCTCACATTATCAGCAGTCAACAAATGTTTGTTATGCTAAACTGACAATTATTTGGACTCCCGAAGTGAACCATTCACTATTTCCTGGACATACTGTGACGTTTCCAACTCCAGTGCTTTCCCTTATGTCACCAGTTCCTCCTGGAATACTCCATCTCTGCCTATCATATTCTTATTGAACGTTTAGAACACAATTTAAATACCAACTGTTCCATTAATCTATTCCTGATCTTCTCAACCAGAAGTGATCTCATTCTACCTAAAGCTAACTGTCATAGTTATTCACAATGGCTCACTCATGCTTACCTGTGTAGCAGTTGCATGAATATTTCTCTTAATTCCCTTACCGGGACTTCTATTCTTTGTATATAGCAGGGCTTCAGTAAATATTTGCCAAACAAATGAATAAACGATCAGAATTAACATTAGGTTGAAAGTTTCTTCACATTAAAAGTTTCTTTTACTGAGTGGTAGTCTGTGCGGTGCATATAATTCAGTGTTGAATGAAATGACTGGAGTTTACATGGACCTAGTCCATCATCTCAGTCATCTGCAGAGGTGTGGGGATGTATTAGTCAGGGCTCTTCAGAGAAACAAAAGCAATACTGTATTTATACAGGGAGAGAGATTTATTTTAAGGAAGTGGCTCATACAGTTATGGAGCCGGCTGGCATGTCCAAAATCTGCAGGGTAGGCCAGCTGGCTGGAGAACCCAGGAAAGAGCTGATGTTGCAGTCATGAGTCCCAAGATGAAGAATTCTGTCTTCTTTGGGGGAGTCTCAGTCTTTCTCTTAAAGCCTTAAATTTACTGGCTGAGGCCCACCCACATTGTGGAGAGAAATGGGTACCATAGCCTAAATGAATTGACCCGTAAAATTAAACCATCGCACCTGTGCATTTCAACAATTTTTGAGGCTAAAAAAACAGGCAAAGTAAAAGCTACTTTCTCTAAAAGGAGCGTGTACTCTCATCTCACCACATCTCCCATCCTGCCTACGTCGTGCGTTTAACATCCTATGCCTCTGTCATACAGCCATTTAAGGTTGTGACCACAGATGTATGTTGCGATCTTTTTTATTTATAAAAGGAGTATTTGTACACATAGGCACATGCCTTGGCCCCTGGCTACCTCCCCAACCTCATTTCTTAACGTGTTTCTACTCTTGCTTCACTCCAGCCTCTCTACCTCCCTTATTACCTCCAACACTCTAAGAATGCTCCCATCTTAGGGTCTTCTTTTTTCTCTGCGTGGAGCATTCTACCCCAACAAAGGTCACAAGTCTGCGCCTTCACTTTGTTCAACTTTCTGCCTAAATGTCCCTGACCATACTACCTAAAATAGCCTGCCCCCTCACGGCACCACTCTATTTGTCACCCTCCTTTATATTTTTTCATAATAGACATGCCTGTATGACACTATATGGTATTTGTGGAATTTCCTCTAGAAATTAAATTCTGCAAGGACACGGATTTTGTTTGTTTACCACTGCATCTTACATCTGAATCGGTGCTTGGCACATCTTTAACAGTCAATAAAAGCTTACTGAATGTATGAATATATGCTCAAGCATTGTGATACATCAGGAATTTAACAGCAGGTGTTCGGGAAGTGGGGCTGACTCTAGCAGTTAGTTATTATATGTGGGGTGCTCAACTTGCATTTCATACCCTACTAAAATATTTGAATTTTTTTATGTGTATGTATTATTTTCTATAAAAAAGTTTGTAATTTTTAAAAATACCTTTATCCATAATAGGCTGCAGAAATTAAATTTGATGCCTCGATATAAATAATCATCTATGAAAAAATAAATCTGTAATACCTACATATGTGTGTATGTATATGTATATGACAATGAAGTTCATTTTCTTTAGTAGATTTTATTAGTGTTGTGCTTTACAAGAAGATGAGATACATAAAGGAACACAATCCAAAGTAAATTCACCAACATTATAAATTAGATACTTATAAATGACAACCTCACTTAAGTTTTAAGCTTGCCAAATATTTTAAACTATTTTTAAAGTACTTTACGTTTCAGAAATGTAAATCCTTCTAAAAAATAAAATGTTAAGAAGAATATTGCCAACTTTAAAAGAAATATTAACCTTAACATTCTTCGGTCAGCTGGTAGAAACGGGGGGGTCCATGACAGGTTAGTGGAGGAAAGGGTGCCTTTTGTAAAAATTCAATACTCTGAACATTAGCTACGGCCAGAAATGACAATCAAAGGAAGAGAATTCTTCATATTTCAAAAGACTTTACTCAGTACAATTAGATTTATATTTGAATTATAAATGTTTTTTCTTTCCTGTCTCTATATTGACATACATACATTATTAAATGCGTTAAAGTTTTAGATTAAAGAATCTAAACTAGTTTAAAATATGTAACAAATGGAAAATAATAGCTAATAATAGAAGACCTTTGTTCAGAAACATTCTGATTCATTAATTGCAGAAACAAAAAATAACAATGTTAACATATAGAACAAGATATAATAAACTGAGATCTTGGAGCGACTGTTGATTTCTGTAAACTTTCTGATGCCACTGCTGTCATAAAGAGCTTAGTAAATATTGACTGAGGATGATGATGATCCTGCAATATTTTTAAGACTGGGTGTCATTGGCAGTACAGTCAGATATCCGGGACTTAACATTGTCATTTTGCCATGGGTCCCTTCCACCTGGGCCTCTCCCAAAAGGACAAATGTTTACCTGCAGTTAGGCATTTGAATGTGTAAATATTCCCGTCTCAATTATATTTAAGTAGCTAGAGTTTTCACTCTTTAAATCTTGAAATAGTTGTTCTATGAAGTTTAAATTGATATTCCAAAAGTTAGCAAAGGTGAAAATGGGCTTAATTAAATGTTTTTCCCATAATTCCAAACAAAAATTTGTTTTGTACACTCGTCAAAATAAAAATATTTTATTCCTCTTACTATTCCAAACCCAAGATATTTATGAAACTTCTGAATTTGTTGGGGTTTAATTTACAATTCTGCTTAGTTGCTAAGTTTTAAATGTTCAATATATCTGGTTCCCTTTGGGATTATAAGGGCTTTATGACTATCACTATTTTATTAATATAGTTCCAGTTATTTCCCCAAAATGGTTAGTTCCGATTAGATCAGAAATAAACACTATTCAATTACTATGCGAAATAATCAAGAAATTCAAAAGCCTAGGGATTTTTTTTAGCTTAGTTTTGTTAGACATTATTTATCTGATAAATATTTAATTTACTTTATTCCATGGAAAGCTTAATTGTCCTTTCCAGCTTGGCTAGCTATTCTGAACTGTAAAAAATGAAAAATCAATTATATGAAAAAATCTGAGAATTGAGATTTTGTTCTAGAAAGTTGGGCACACTGTTGGCTCATAATTAAGCTTGTATACATTTTATGGTTCTGTTTGGTTTGGTTTCATTTGTTTTTTGTTTGGTTGGTTGTATAAGATTCAGAATTGAAATAATCACCTATCTATTCATTCTACCCTTACCTGAAAACTCGGGCGAAATCAAAGAGTCAAGTATTAGTCTCTGTGTCCTGATTTGATTTCTAATAGGTATTTCTTTGGGGTTTATAATTAGTAATATGATTAAAAGGTAACATAAAAATAGACTTAATTTATAAGTGCATAAAGAAAACTTCATTTATTTCTAAATCTGATTTAATTGGTCCTTTTTTTATCCTTTTGTAAAATTTTTATTTTGGATTCATTCTTTTGGTATGATATAATATTTTAATTCAGAGCTAACACTACAGTAAGACAGATGGTGTAGATTCTGACTTCCTAGCTGGGGTGGGTGAACTTTGATAGG